AAGACCCATCAGAGTTGGATGGCTCATTTTTCAAGACAAAACAAAGTTTATTGCATATTTCTACTCACTAGATACATCTGTTAGGAAATTTTTAGAGGATGAAAGAAAAGTTTTTCCATCCAAGCTTTGGCATAATCAAATCTGTGATGATTTTACGCATAAGTTATTGTACCTGAGTGACAACACTAATGTCTTCATTTTATTTCATACTGTTTTATTGAAATTGTTTGCTTTCAATTATTGTTGTGCTCTGCTTTGTAGTAATATATTTGCAGAACAGTGGAATATAAATGTTCCAAATAAAGTTAATAAACAACCATAGCCTTCTCTCCATGAAGATATCAGGTTCCCTCTCATGTCTCATTTTAACTATGACACTATTTAAAAAAATATTCTAAGTTAAATAAACCTGATATTCACCTGTAAAAGCACTCCTTTTTTTTTAAAAAAAAAGGTTGTTCATTTCCTAATTTTTTAAATTAAATTTTAATGCATCATTACACTGCCATCCAGTGGCCAACCTAGAGTATATATGTAAAAAGTAAAAAAGTTTGTGTTGCTATATTCTGGTGTGCAATAAGCCTGTTCCTTTAATCTAGTGGTTCTCAAACTGTAGGTACCCAGATGTTTTGGCCTTCAATTCCCAGAAATTCCAGCAGCTGGTAAACTGGCTGGGAATTTTGGGAGTTGTAGGCCAAAACACCTGGGGACCCACAGGTTGAGAAACACTGCTTTAATCAATCATGCATGGTCTTGTGCATAACTATTGACAAGTAAGTCTAATAAAGGCATCAAACTGCTGTGATGATATGCCATATATTCTGAATGCTAACAAAATGTGTTCAATTGCATTAATTCTCGAGAATCCCATCCACTATTCTCAGGCTAAAGGTAAAGGTAAAGGTTTTCCCCTGACATTAAGTCCAGTTGACTCTGGGTGCCGAAGAGCCGGCATTGTCCATAGACACCTCCAAGGTCATGTGCCGGCATGACAGCATGGAGCGCCGGCTACAGGCTACAGCAAGTAAAACTAATGCTGCTGAAATCAAGGACATCGTGGAAGGAAGGCTTTCTAGAGAGGGTAGCCTCTCTAGAATCCTCTCTTCAGTGGTATATAACCACATGTACTTATGCAAAGCAATTTGGTTTTCAGTTGTTAGACTGATAACCTAGTTGTCTCTGAACTGTTAGGAACAGAGATTATACCAATGCACAAAACAGCAGAGTTTCAGAAGTGTTTTTCAGTTACCTAAAATATATCCACTCTCCCATAAAATATCTTGTTTCTATATCATTCTCTCAAGAGACAAAAATAAAGTAGACTTCATTAAAAGTAACATTTTTGATTTACTCAAAACCTTCATGTATTTAGCATACAGGTACATAACTTGTCAATCCAGTTACAGATGGATTTGAGGTGAGGTCTCTGTGCAGATAACACAGGGCATCTTTCTTATAATCAACAGCAACATGAGTTTGCTCTTAGCAGTCCAAAATCTAATGGCGTCTGTCTCTAAAATGGAGTCTGAGCTCTGAGCAGTCCCAGATCTGATCATGTGATCTGCAGCCCCTCCCACAACTTCAAGAAACATAAAGGGAAAGCTGCATACCAAAACATACATATACAGTACAGTAAGTAAACAGAACCATAAACAAAACAAATTACTAGTAGAGACTTGAAGAAGGTTGCTATTTCCAACACGTCCAACTCTAGGATTATAGGATTTTATATCCACGAAAGCTCATGTAGACATAAAGAACAACTGCTACAGTTCTTTTTCTTTCCTTTCCAAACTCAAACTTGAACATGTCCAGGTAAAACCATATCGTGACCTGTTTGCTTCCAACGGCCTACAAAAACAAGCATTTCATTTGAGCCAATATGACCAAAAAAAGCACACCCCTCCTTTGAAGGCTGCCATCTGATACACACATACCTGCAAATACAGTGGGCCCTTGGTATCTCCTGGGGTTTGGTTCCAGGACACACACACACACCCAATGCCAAAATCCATGGATGTCAAAATTGCATTATATACAATGCCATACTAAATGGGACCTCTTTTATAAGATGGGAAAATCAAGGTTTGCTTTTTAGATTATTATTATTATTATTATTATTATTATTATTATTATTATTTCTAATAATAGAAACACAACAAGATGAGTCCACAGCAGACAAGATCACTCTGCTGGATGTTGTATTGGATCACAGGTCAGACACTTCCCAAGTGTTATTATTATTATTATTATTATTATTATTATTATTATTATGCAACCACCCTAGATGGTTAACAACAACAATAACAGCAGCAGCAGCAACTTTATTTGTAGATCGCCCTATCTTTCCGAAGGGACTCAGGGCGGTTTCCAATTAATGGAAATGAAAAACCACCCTATTGTATTTACACTGTAGAATTAATGTGGTTTGACACCACTTCAACTGCCATGGCTCATCACTATGGAATCATAAGATTTGTAGTTTGGTGAGGCACCAGGATTCTTGGGCAGACAGGGCCTTGTGAAACTACTATGATTCCATAGCATTGAGTAGTTAAATGTGGTGTCAAAACTGCATTAATTCTACAATCTAGATACACTCTAAGGCTTTCAGGGGTCGGAGGGGGAGTTGATTTGGGTTCCCTAAAGCCTCAGCCGCTTTGGACAATGATCAGGGATTCTGGGTCTTGAACTCCATAGCTCCTGAAAACCAGTGTTTGGGAAATTATGTGTGATTGAGTTTGATACAACATTGGATGCCATTGGACTATTGCAATGCGCTCTATGTAGGGCTGCCCTTGAAGACGGCTTGGAAGTTCCAACTGGTCCAACGAGCAGCAGCCAGGATGCTAACTAGGGCCCCTTACAGAGTGAGGTCAACCCTCCTGTTTAAGGAGCTCCACTGGCTGCCGTTTATATTCCGAGCCCAATTTAAGGTGCAGGTGCTTACCTACAAAGCCCTGAACGGTTTGGGACCAGCCTACCTGCGTGACCACATTTCCATCTACGAACCCACGCGCTCACTTTGGTCATCTGGAGAGACCCTGCTCGTGATCCCACCTGCGTCGCAAGCGCGCTTGGTGGGGACGCAGGACAGGGCCTTCTCCGTGGTGCCCCCCCGACTCTGGAACACCCTCCCCAAAGATCTTAGACAGGCCCCTACATTGGCAGCCTTCAGAAAGAACCTGAAGACCTGGCTATTCCGATGCGCCTTCCCAAATTAGGAAATCTCCACTACCAAGTCCCATAAGCACTTTACTAGAACCAATGATTGCTGCACATTGCACACCGCACTTGCCCTAGAAGCCTTATATATACCTCCTGTCACATCAGCACTTTTAATCTTGTACCCATTACCCTGGCCTGGCCCAGGTCTATTGTGTTTATTTATTGTTTATTGCCTGTTGTTCTTTTTGCTTTATTTTGTTTTAAATGGTTTGATTTGCTTAGATTGTATTGTTATATTGTGTGTTGAGGCCTCGGCCTGTGTAAGCCGCATCGAGTCCTTCGGGAGATGCTAGCGGGGTACAAATAAAGTTTAATAATAATAATAATAATAATAATAATAATAATAATAACCCCTTCTACACTGCCATATAAACACCAGATTATCTGCTTTAAACTATACGGCAGTGTAGATTCGTTTAACCCAGATCACAACCAGACACAGTGAAGACATCTGCCCTTGCACTATGCATCTCTGCTGCTGAGTATGCATGCTCAGTGTGGAACACATCTCACCACGCTAAAACAGTGGATGTGGCTCTTAATGAGACATGCCGCATTATCACAGGGTGTCTGCGTCCTACACCACTAGAGAAATTACACTGTCTAGCCAGTATTGCACCACCTGACATCCGCCGGGAAGTAGCAGCCAATAGTGAAAGGACCAAGGCAGAGACATCTCCAGACCATCCCTTGTTTGGGTATCAGCCAGCACATCAACGACTTAAATCAAGAAATAGCTTTCTAAGATCTACAGAGACACTTGCTGGAACACCCCAGCAAGCGAGAGTCAAAAAGTGGCAGGCTCAAACCCAGAACCTCAACTAATGGCTGATTCCAAATGAGAGAGTCCCCCCTGGGCACACAGAAGACTGGGTGACTTGGAAGCCACTGAACAGACTGAGCTCTGGCACCACAAGATGCAGAGCCAATCTCAAGAAATGGGGCCACAAAGTGGAATCCACGACATGCGAGTGTGGAGAAGAGCAAACTACAGACCACCTGCTGCAATGCAACCTGAGCCCTGCCACATGCACAATGGAGGAGCTCCTTGCAGCAACACCAGAGGCACTCCAAGTGGCCAGATACTGGTCAAAGGACATTTAATCAACTACCAAGCTTGCAAACTTTGTGTTTTGTCTGTCTGTCTGTTTGTTTGCTTTGTTAAAAATGTAATACAAATGTCTGGTTGCTCCTGACACGATAAATAAAATAACCCCGATCACGGCAGATATCCACCTTGATAACCTGGATTATATTGCAGTGTAGAAGGAATCAATGTTATGGAACCCTGAAATATGTAATTTGATGTAGAAACAGCACTCTTTGGCAGAGTAGGCGAAAGACCTTGCAGAATGGGGGGAAATCCGATCATTTCATAGCGTAGAGCCACAGGGAGTTGAAAATAATGGATTGAGTCCACAGTGTAGAGCAGGCATGGGCAAACTTTGGCCCTCCATGTGTTTTGGACGTCAACTCGATTGTTAGGAATTGTGGGACTTGAAGTCCGAAACACCTGGAGGGCCAAAGTTTTCCCGTGCCTGGTGTAGAGGAGGCGCGCGCTTGCCTTGCCCACGAAAGGAGGAGCCTCCAGACCCAGGACGCAAAAAAAACCAGGAAGAGACGCTTGGAAGAGAAGTGGGCGGGCTTCCCACGAGAGGAGAGGGAGGAAGGAGGCTGGACTCCGCGTTGGAGTGACCCAGAGAGCAACTTGAGCCTGGCTTCCAATCAGCAGCAGCAGGAGGAAGAGAATGGGGCGCCAGGGTCTGACTCACCCGCCGAGCCGCCGGCCAGAATCTGGTGGGACGCCTCGTGCCAAAAGCCGCGCGGGGTTCCTACCATGATGATCCACTCGCGCAGGGAAAAGAGCCGCCCAGGGGGATGCAGCAGGAGGAGGAAGAGGAGGAGGAGGAAGAGTCACTTCAGAGGCGGGGGGCGCCTCCTTCCAGTGGGCGAGGAAGGAGGGAGAGCAGGCGGGGCTGGAAGGGGCGGGCAAAGCCGGGCGCAAGGCAAGGAGTGCATTGACACCAGGCAGGGGCAAACTTTGGCCCTCCAGGGGTTTTGGACTTCAACTCCCACAAAACCTAACAGCCTACTGGCTGTTAGGAATTGTGGGGGTTGAAGTAAAAAACCCCTGGAGGGCCAAAGTTTGCCTATTCCTGCTGTAAAATGTAGGTATCTAATTTAACTGTCATGGCTGCATGCTGTAGAATGGTGGGAGTTATAGTTTTACAAAGTCTGTAGCCTGTGTAATGGTGGGAGTTATAGTTTTGCAAAATCTGTAGCCTGTGGAATGGTGGGAGTTAATAGTTTTACAAAGTTTGTAGCCTTCTCTGCAAGAGTGTGGGTGCCCCACCAAACTCCCATCTCCTGAGGCAGGCATGTAGCTGAGAGGGGGGGCTTGAGGGGCTTCAGCTCCCCCCCCCCCGAAATTCTCATGGTGGTCCGTGAAAAGGCCTTACTGGTGCATTATTTAAACTGTTATGTTTATTCATATCATGATCTGATCACCATACTCAATATATCCCATATGATGGGGGTATTGGGGTAGCCGGGATTTTGATGGGGGGGGGGGGGGGGCTGAGTCTGAGTGAAAGAGGGTCTACCCTAGCAAACCTTTTGCATCGTTACCCCAATACCCCCATGCATATGGGATATATTGAGCATGGTGATCAGATCATGATATGAATAAACATAACAGTTTAAATAATTTTCCAGTAAGGCCTTCTCGTGGACCACCCTGAGAATTTGGGGGGGGGGGTGGGCTGGGTACATGCCTGCATGGGGGTATTGGGGTAATGATACAAAAGGTTTGCTAGGTAGACCTCTTTCACCCAGACTCACCCCCCCCCCCCCCCCGAATCAAAATCCTGCTACGGGCCTGCAGGCACACCTTCTGAGGGCAGCTTTCCCCTCTCTTCTCCACCAAGGCCTTTGGGACCTTTGGACTCAGGGATCCCAGCCAAAAAAAGACAGCCCAATGAAACCTTTGCGCCACACGAAAGAATCCAGGAAAGGGCTTGGGAATGCTGATGTGCCACAATCTTTCTTTTTTAGTTGCCAACAGTAAAGAAGATGCCTGTGTAGTGTGTACAGTCAGCATTCTATGTACTTGCTACATAGAAGCCAGGGGCCCCAGTACCAAGGAGTCGGGCAATGCTGCTGAAATTCATAGGGTGCATCTGCACTGTAAGCCCCCAGTGGCGCAATAAGTCAGCAGGACTGATCAGTGGTTCAAATCCAAGGACAGCGGGTTGAGCTCCCTCATGTCAGCTCCAGCACCCCATGTGGGGACATCAAACATCCGGGCGTCCCCTGGGCAATGTCCTTGCAGATGGCAAATTCTCCCACACCAGAAGTGACTTACAGTTTCTCAAGTCGCTAGTCACACAAACACACACACACCTGCAATGTAGAAGGAGTGCAGTTAGACACCACTTTAGTTGCCATGCCTCAATGCTATTGCATTCTTGGAGCTGTACTTGGGCATTAGCACTCTAGCAGAAAAGACTAAAAATTTTAAAACTACAACTTCCAGGATTCCATAGTGCTGAACCATGGCAATTACAGTGGTGTCAAACTGCATTAATTCTACAAAGATGATGCACCCTTCATTGCTTACAGCATTAGTTAAGAAGATGTGTGGGTGCAGTCAGGCTTCTAAGTTAAAAGGCGGGGGGGGGGGTACTATTATGGGTAGGGCAACACTGCTGAAATTCTTAAGGTGCATCTACATATTTAAAATAATGCAAAATTCTGTGTTCTCTCCGGTAAAAATAATACTGTAACACTATTCTTTTAACATCTACATGAAACCTCTGGGAGAGGTCATCCAGAGTTTTGGATTTCGGTGCCATCTCTATGTAGATGACACCCAACTCTATTACTCTTTTCCACCAAAATCCAAGGAAGCTTCTCGGATACTGGACCAGTGTCTGGCTGCTGTTGCAGTCTGGATGAGGACGAACAGGTTGAAGATCAATCCTGACAAGACAGAAGTTCTCCAGATCACTGCCATAAGTAAGCAGGCCTTTTTTCATCTTCGTCAGGCAAGGAAATTGGCATCCTACCTTTCGGTAGAAGCATTGGCAACGGTAATCCACGCAACAGTCACCACTAGGTTGGACTATTGCAACGCCTTATATGCCGGCCTTCCGAAGTCAATAACTCAGAAGATTCGGATAGTCCAAAATGTGGTGGCCAGGCTGCTAGTGGGATCATCTAGAAAATCCCATATTACACCGATTCTGCAACAACTGCATTGGCTACCAGTAGAACATCAGATCTCTTACAAGATACTGATCCTGACATTTAGAGCTCAAAATGGCCAAGGACCTTTATATCTTAGGGACCGCCTCATTCCTTTTTTCCATCAGTGGTTACCTCGATCCACCCAAGAAAATCTCCTATACATACCGGGCCCTAGGGAGGTACACCTGGAAGCTACAAGGCGTAGAGCTTTTTCAACCTTTCTCCAATTCTGTGGAACTCATTGCCTCCGTATATTAAAGCAATGTTGGAGTTGCGACCTTTTGTAAAGGCGCTCAAGACTTGGCTGTTTGGTTGTGCATTTAAGTAAAGTGATCGGATCTAATTTGCCAAATAGTCACTGTTGAATGTTTTTATGTTGAATGTTTTTATATTGTGTAAATGCTATTTTAAATTGTAAGTTGCTTGGAGCACCTTGGTAGAGAGCGATTAATTAAAAAATAAAGTGAAGTGAAGTGAAATCTTGAAATTCCCAGATAGGTGTTTTCTTGGGTTAAAAAATAGCAATTCATGGTTTCTCACTTTCATGTAGTTCATATCACTGATATTATTGAATGTGGAAACATAGGAGATGATACAAGATTCAGCCTCCTAGTGCTCTTATTAAAAGAAGACCATGTTCTTTTTTAAAATGAAGTTTATTTATTTATTTATTTATTGTTTAAACTTATATGCCGCCACTCCCCTGGGGCTCGGAGCGGCTTACAAGAATAGCTAAAATCTAACAAAGTTTAAAAGCAATTTAAAACAATTTAAAAACAACAGTATCAAACATTAAAAGCCTGTCGGAACAGGTATGTCTTGCATGTCCTGCGGAAAGCTGGTAAGTCCCGCAGGACATGAACTTCAGGTGGCAGAGCATTCCAGACTGATGGCGCCACTGCTGTGAAGGCTCTGTGTCTGGTTGCCGTTAGACGCAAGGTCTTGACACTGGGGACTTCCAATAGATCTTGGTCCTCAGAACGGAGGGATCTCTGGGGTTGGTAGGGGGTGAGACGATCCCTCAGATACATTGGCCCCAGACCATGCAAGGCCTTAAAGGTGAGTACCATCACTTTGAAAGTGATCCGGTGCTCCATTGATAACCAATGCAGCTGTAGTAAGATTGGTGTTATGTGGCATCTCATCGGAATTCCCGCAAGAAGCCGAGCAGCTGCGTTTTGTACCAACTTGAGCTTCCGAATCACCGACAGAGGGAGGCCAATGTAGAGGGCGTTACAGTAGTCCAGTCTTGAGTTGAGCCAGGAGAGTAATTATCTAAAAGCTATGAGTGAATGGGCCTCAGTTTTGGATTGGTTTTTGACTGAGGCAGGACTCTTTATGACTGAGATACATCAAAGTTACTCTAACTTAGTGGTTCTCAACCTTTCTTTGACCAGGGACATTTTGACTAGGGACCACTCTCCAACATTAGTACCCAAAGGGTTATGAATCAGTTTCTGGTCAACTTTAGATTCGGTTTGGTTATTTGGGGTGCTGATTTAGAAAATTGCATTGGATAGATCACACTAGCTCTAGTTTCTGATAGAGAACATATGTCATCCAGTAGTCACCATCTGCTCGCTCACCAAAAACCATATTTAATAAACCCCAGCATTATAAGAGGGTTTCACAAGATCAGCTGCTCTCATTGCAATGTTGTAGTAATGGTGAGGCTGCGGACCATATTTTAGTTCTAGCGGGACCACTGGTGTTCCACGAACCACAGATTGGGAACCACTGATCTAACTTCAACAGGCCTGTTCAGGTCTTGCAGACTTGGACCTATTGCTTCTCTCATTAAGTTTTCCATCTGAAATGTTGTCTTCCTCTTTTCCTACTGCTCTCCACATTTGCAAGCATTATACTATGTAATAAAATTGATTTTTTTCTGTTTCTGGTTTGAAAGTGTTATTTCCTGTTTAATTATGCAGTACTTATTTTGAAAGTAGTTGTTTTACTCTAGAAGCTTTGTTTTTGTGGCTGCCACAAACTATATTGAATTGGCTGAAACTCTATTAGATATTTATTGAAAAATTATAGCAAAATGTGCTGCAGGATGTCCCACAAAGTTTTTGCAGTTTAATAAGCTTTTTCCATGTTTTTATGATAGAACCAATTAGGAAATGACATTTATAATCCAGGAACAAAAACCGTGTTACATTATCACCGTATTGCATTTTCTTCTCATACGTCCAAAGTACAACAGTCTCCATTTAATCACCTTGGCAGTCTACAGTGTCTGCAGAACTCCTTTCCAGCATTTCACCTCAAATAAGTTGATTTTTTTTCCCAATTTACTTTGGTTGTTGTTTTGTTTTGGGGTTTTGTTGTGTTTTGCTGTCCAGCTTTCACAACCATACATAGAAATGGAGTATACAATGACATGGACCATTCTGACTTTAGCATTCAGTGATATATCTCAACACTTTAGAATCTTGTCTAGTTCTTTCAGAACTGCCCTTCCAAACCCTTGTCAATTTCGGATTTTTTGACCACAATCTCAACTCTGATTAATGATTGAACCAAGTATGGGAAATCTTGAACTTTTTCAATGTCTACTTTAAAGTTGTGTAAATCATTCATGGTCATTATATTTGTTTTCTTAACGTTCAACTGTAAACCCGCTTCTGCACTTTCTACTTTGGCTATTCAGTAATCATTCAATGTCTTAGTAGTGTGGTGTCACCTGCATGTTGTTGGTGTTCCTTCTTCCAATGTTCATTTTTCCTCTCAGTCTAATTGGCCCCCAAAACCTACTAATTAGTGGTTCTCAACCTGTGGGTGCCCAGATGTTTTGGCCTTCGACTCCCAGAATCCTAACAGCTGGTAAACGGGCTGGGATTTCTGGGAGTTGTAGGCCAAAACACCTGGGGACCCACAAGTTGAGAACCACTAATTAGTAGGTTTTGGGGGCCAACCACTGCAAATGAATTCAGAAAAGTCACACTCTCTCAGCCTCAGAGAAAAGCAAGGGGCTACCGAAATCAAATCCTTTACATAATTTTGGGCCTTCAAGTCATTTCTGATTCATGGTGAACCATATCAGGGTTTCCTTGGCAGAATTTGATCCAAAGAGTATTTGCCTGTACTTCCCTCCAAGGCTGAGAGAGAGTGACTTTCCCGAAGCCACCCAGTAGGCTTCCATGCCAAACAGGACTTCAAACCCCAATCCAACACTTAAGCAACAACACAATTGTAATTTTTTTCCCCTCGTGTTAGGAGCAAGTCGCTTCTGGTGTGAGAGAATTGGCTGTCTGCAAGGACGTTGCCCAGGGGACGCCTGGATGATTTGATGTGGGAGGCTTCTCTCATGTCCCCGCATGAAGAGCTGGAGCTGATAGGGAGCTCATCCGCCTCTCCCCGGATTCGAACTTGCGACCTGTCGGTCTTCAGTCCTGCCGGCACAGGGGGGGTTGAACCCACTGCGCCACCGGGGGCTCCTACAATTGTGGTGAATGACTTAACAGTGAGGTTTCGGGTTACTCTGTAATGGCAATCAGTTTCAGGTTGAGCATCCATTATGCAGAATTTCAAATTCTGAAATAGTCCATGGATTTTTGCTCTGATGGTATAGGGTACACAAATTGTTTCACATACAAAATTATTGATATGGTGTACAAAATTACCTTAAAGCTATTTGCATAGTTATATGGCACATGAATGAATTTCGTGTTTAGCCACGAGTCCCATCCACATATCTTATTCTGTATGTGCAAGTACTGTATTCCAAAATTCCCAAAAATCCAAACTATGAACTAATTCTGTTCCCAAGCATTTCAAATAATGGATAGTCAACCTATAATTAGAGAAAGGGCGAAGATATGGCCCTACCATTATAAAGAGCAGGTTTCAATGGGATGGATATGAAATGAGTTTTCAAAAGTTTTTTCCCTCTCTTCCGCCTAGTTTAAGTAGAAGGGAACTAGGGTTGCATCTGCACTGTAGCAGTGATACAGTTTGACACTACTTCTAACTGCCATGGCACAATCCTGTGGAAAGTTGTAGTTTGGCAAGGACCAGTACTCATAGACCTTGTAAAACTACAACTCCCAGGATTCTTTAATATTGAGCCTTGGGAGCTAAAGTGGTCTCAAACTACATAAATGCTCCAGTGGAGATGTACCTTGGATTTCCAAGCTGATTAAAGAGTTAATGAGTTGCTGTGAGTTTTCCGGGCTGTATGGCCATGTACCAGAAGCATTCTCTCCTGACGTTTCGCCTACACCTATGGCAGGCATCCTCAGGTTGTGAAGTTCCAGAGACACTGACTTCTCAGAGGTTGTGACCTCACTGGGTTGCTGTGAGTTTTCTGGACTGTATGGTTATGTTCCAGAATCATTCTGTCCTGACGTTTCGCCTGCATAGGTGCACCTATGCAGGCGAAACGTCAGGAGAGAATGATTCTGGAACATGGCCATACAGCAAGGAAAACTCACAGCAACCCAGTGATTCTGGCCACGAAAGCCTTCGACAACATAAGGAGTTAATCCCCTTTACTATGCACCACCGCTTCCTACTAACTTCTATGAGTTAATCAAACGCCTCCCCACTTCTCGAGCACTCCCAAACAACAATCAGTCTTCGCCCACCAATGAGGTTCTTCTGTCCCGCCTCCATCGTTTGATTGACATCTAGGGCCAGCGACTGGATGACAATCCAAGCCTGTTGGTCACGCCTCCTGCGTGAATGTTTGTTGTGCCAGAATGAGTATAGAATGTGGAAATAGTAGAGCACCAAGAGCTGTTGAGCTTCCGGGTTGCTTTTCAATTCGTCCCAAAGTATATACCTATAAGACTAGAGGATCCTTGGGAAAGCCAGCCTTTCAGCAATGACCGGGCCTAGACTCATCTTAGAAACTAGAGGAAGCTGTAAATATATAAAGGGAAAAGGGAATTTATATGGAAACATTAAAAAGAGTTTTCTAATACGAACACAATAAAGAATACTCAAATATTATGATAGCCAACCAGGCAATGGTAATACTGAGAGGTGCAGTTGAGCCCAATCTGCAATGCAGTAGACTTTCAGTTAACCGGCACCTATGCGGCTAGGTAGATTCTGGATAGGTGTAGTTTCTGGTTGCCTGAGAGCAACTATTAAAAATAGGACCAGTATAGTACCACAAATTTTGTATTGATATTAACATTGAAATACAGTATTTGAAAGCAAATAACAACAAACTTAATTTAAACTTCCATTTACACTAAAATTGGGTTTATTTTAATTTTAATGTATTATTCCTTTGGTTTTGTAGGCTGCTTGAGTTCTGGCTGAGAGTGTATAAAACAATGGCACGTACTGCATCAACCACAAGCCCAAACTGAATCCCAGTTGCATGTCAAACTATATTAACTCTGTATTGTCGAAGGCTTTCATGGCCAGAATCACTGGGTTGTTGTAGGTTTTTTGAACTGTTCTAGAAGCATTCTCTCCTGACGTTTTGCCTGCATCTGTGGCAGGCATCCTCAGAGGTTGTGAGGTCTGTTGGAAACTAGGAAAATTGGGTTTATCTGTGGAAAGTTCAGAGTGGGAGGAAGCTAGGAAGCTAGTCTGTTGGAGCTAGGTGTGAATGTTTCAATTGGCCACCTTGATTAGCATTTGATGGCCTGACAGTTTTTAGGTGTGGCTTGTTACTACCTGGGAGAATCCTTTGTTGAGAGGCAATTAGCTGTCCCTGTTTGTTTCTTGTCTGGAGTTCCCCTGTGTTTGAGTTTTGTTCTTTATTTACTGTTATAATTTTATATTTTAGATTAATTCTACAGTGTAGCTGCACCCTTGGCCTAACATGCAACCCACACAGGAGATGCATTTACACAGTCTGAATTAATGCAGTTTGACACCACTTTAACTGCCAGGTCTCAATGCTATGGGATCCTGGGCGTTGTGGCTTGAGAAGGCTCCAGCAGAGAAGGCTAGATAACTTTTAAAACTGCAACTCCTGTGGTTTCATAGCATTGACCCATGGCAGTTAAAGTGGTGTCAAACTGCATTAATGTTATAGTGTAGAGAGGCACCCGTGGGTTCTCGAATGAGGAGTGTCTCCACCCAGCCTTTCCCTCGGGGGAGAGGGGAGGTGTCGCAAGGGCGCCGGAAGTGGACAGCGTAGAGGCGAGTCTACAAATGAATGAAGCTCAGTCGCCCTAGCCCTTTGGGGGTCGCGAGGCCAGCGGTGCCGCTTCCTTCGCCTCTCGCGCGCAACCCGGCTGACTGCGCGAGGCAAATAGGTAACTGCAGCCGCCTTTCTAACGGGACGGAATCCCTGCTGGGAGGGGTAGGAGGAGGGGGGAAAAGAACTGCAACACGCATGCGCACGGAGTGGCTAGGAAGTTCCCTCTTAAGCATTCATTACCAGAGCAATCTCTGATTTCCTCTCCTCTGGTAGAATGAATGCAGTTTGATACCAAGTCAAGGGCCATGGCTCAATGCTATGGAATCTGTAGTTGTGCAAGGGCTTCAGCCTCCCCTGGTGCCTTGGCAAAACTACAACTCCCAGGGCTCCTTAGCTTTGACCCATGACGGTTCAAAGTAGTGCCAAACTGCATTCATTCTACAACAGGCATGGGCAAACTTTGGCTAAGCAGATGAGGGGCAATAAGAAAGGGCCTGAGGCTGTTAGGAATTGTGGGAGTTGTAGTCCAAAACAACTGGAGGGATGAAGTTTGCCCATGCCTGTTCTACAGTGTAAGCTGAGTGTTTGGGGACTGTGGAGGGGTTTGGGAAGCATCAGAAGAGGATATTAAAGGGTGTTTCCGCTTGCACCTTTGAGATTAACTGTCGAATGAATGCATTTTGATACCATTTTAACTCAATTCCATAGCTCATGGCTATGGCATCCTTAGAGTTGTAATCCTACAAGGTCATTAGTCTTCTCTACCAAAGGATGACCACAAACCCAGAATTCTGTAACACAGAGCCATGGCAGTTAAAGTGGTGTCAAACTGAGTTAATTCTACAGTGGAGATGCACTCAAGCAAAACATTGCTAGGGAGGAGGCACGAACATTCCAAAGCAGAGTCCATTGGTCACCTCGGGACCCCATTACCAAAAGGTGCTGGTGCTCTTAACAGCATTGATAAAATGTTATATCCTTATGAGTTGCAACCCCAGTATATTCCTCTTTTGACTTTTCTTTTTGTGCTGTTTTGAATTTGAATATAGAGTGCAATTGCAAAACATTTCCAGGTGGTAGGCATTAACTCTGATCAGATTTAGAGAAGAGGATCAAAAGCAAGGCCTCCTGAAAACAGAGAAGGTTGTAATCCTATGCACGTTAATATGGAAGTAAACTATTAACTTTAGTGGGGCAAACTGTCAAATAGATATGTATAGTGGCCAGTTACTATAAGTTTGTATTTATGTGTTTGTTTACTGTTTGGTTTGATTTGTTTTGTTTCTATTGTTTATTGTGGTATTAAATGTTTTCCATCTTTTTTGGGAAATTGCCCTGAGGATCCCCTCCCCCGGGAGATAGGACAGGTTATAAATAAAGTTTTATTATTATATTATAGTATATTATTATTATTAGTAGTAGTAGTAGTAGTAGTAGTAAAGGTAAAGGTTTCCCCTGACATTAAGTCCAGTCATGTCCAACTCTGGGGGGTAGTGCTCATCTCCATTTCTAAGCCGAAGAGCCAGCACTGTCCATAGACACCTCCAAGGCCATGTAGCTAGCATGACTACATGGAGCACTGTTACCTTCCTGCAAAAGTGGTTCCCATTGATCTACTCACTTTGCATGTTTTCAAACTGCTAGGTTGGGAGAAACTGGGCCTAACAACGGGAGCTCACCCTGCTCCCCGAATTTGAACTGCCAACCTTTCGGTCAGCAAGATCAGCAGCTCAGAGGTGTAACCCGCTGCACCAGTGGGGGGGGGGCATTATTATTATAGTGCAAGACAAATGGAAAAGGATGGAAGACAGAAGATCTGCCAGAATCCTTTATTTTTTTAACATATAGGACAAACATGCTACTAAGTTGTCACAACCTAATTGGTTCTGACTTCTAGTCTTTTTAAATATTACTATTAAATTGGTTCTGACTTCTAGTCTTTTTTAATATTATTGTATTATTACTGGGAGGTGGTGCTCATCTCCATTTCTAAGCCAAAGAGCCAGTGTTGTCTGTAGACACCTCCATGGCCGGCATGACTGCCTGGAGCATCATTACCTTCTTGCAGAAGTGGTACCTGTTGATCTACTCACATTTGCATGTTCTCGAACTGCTAGGTTGACAAAAGCTGGGCCTAACAGCGAGAGCTTACCCTGCTCCTTGGATTCGAACTTCCAACCTTTCAGTCAAAAGTTCAGCAGCTCAGCGGTTTAACCCGCTGTGCTACCAGGAGGCCCATTATTATTATAGTGCAAGAGAAATAGAAAGGGATAGCAGACAAAAGATCTGCCAGTAGCCTTTATTTTTTTAACATATAAGACAAACATGCTACTAAGTTGTCACAACCTCATTGGTTCTGACTTCTGGTCTTTTAAATATTTTTATTATTTATTTGTGGCCACCTCTCCTGAAGGCAGGGTACAGTACAGCTAAAGTACATTACCATATAGGACTGAGTGATAAAAGGTTGGAAATTTCAAATCTAATAATATTATTTGTGACTACCAAACTAAAGTAAGATATTTGACTTTTCTCTTTTCCATGCCTCCTTCTGAATTACTTTGTAAATAAGCCAAGTTTTGTTGTGAGTATATGTAAATCTATGAATAAGAGAGAGAAAGATTGTGTTTCTCTCTTAGCTCCCCTAAAAATAAGTTTTAGGGTGACACTGTTTTTTTAAAAAACTTTAGATGCCGAGACCCAGTCTATCGATCTTTGTCACTGCTGGCTTTGGGATATAATCATAACATTCAGTGCTGCTGGACCTTTTCAGATATCCCAGGATTTGCATTCTGTGGCCCTATCTACACTGACCATTTAATGCAGTTTCAAAATAGCATTTAAGAATGCTCTTCTGCTGTGCAAATGATACCATGGAACCAGTTTGAGGGTCAGATGATGATTACCCAAATAACAGAGCACTGGGGTGCATTAAGGGCTTTCTTTCTTTTGTGAGAGTTTATTATTTGGTTGCCACATTTTGAACTTAGCTTCAAACTGCATTAAATGGAAAGTGTAGATGGAATCCCAGTACTACTACTCACAACGAGCAGAAAAAGTGAGAAACCTGTGCACAGAATGTTCCCTGTGATATTACATAAATTGTCATGATAGTTAGTGATCCTATATTGTGTTCCATTAATATAATATGGTTATATGGATTTCAGTGGCAGGTATGGAATGAATTGTCCATAAATAAAGTAAATTTGCATACAGATAGTGATTGCTTGAGAAAGTCAGTGTGGAAGATATTATGCAGTGGTATCAAACGTATGGCCCTCTGGTTGTTTGGGACTTCAACTCCCAGAATTCCTGGCAGAAGGAGGACAGGCAATGTTCTGAAGGAGATGAGAAAGAGAGAGTGAGAGAGGATGCATTATATAGAGAGACCTGTTTATTAATAGCATGTTAAAAGTGTTTATGTGCGAAGAAATATTGAAGGAAAGGAGTTTTATCTAATGGATTATGATTGCCTACTGCTTCGGGTGCATGCACACTATAGAAGGTCAGGTAAGCCATACATAAATAAACAAAATAATTTTGAACTGGAAAAAGACTGAAAGCTTCTCACAAAGTGCATTTAACGGTGATTTTTAGATGCCCCCACTGGTCAAAATATATTTCTATGTTTTTGTTTTGTTTTTGTTTTTTTGACACGCTGGGAATAGTTGGTGAAGCAGCTTATCTGCTCTGCCTTTTCTGTCTATTTTTCTATTCATACATGGCCCATAAGGGACTCTGTAGGCAGCTACTACTTGCCTTGTCAGTTGTAGAGAGGCACACAAGGCTAGAATAAGATTGACTGGAACAAAATGCTGCTCCAAAATGGTCAAAGGTCAAGCTCTGGAAGCCAAACTCTATAAGGAGCATATAGATATGTTTAGCATGGAACAAAGGTTGAGAAGGGGGGGGGGGGGGGGATAGCCATGTTTAAATATTTGAAAAGATGTTATATTGGGGAGGGGTTGTGCATGTTTTGAATGGTCTGGAGACTAAGACACAGAGCAATGGATACAAACTGCAGGAAAACAAAGATTCTGCCTAAACATTTAGGAAGAATTCCTGGCAGTAAGAGCTGTTTAACAGTGCTGCCTCAATGCATGGTAGAGTCTCCTTCTCCTGAGGCTGAATAGCCATCTGTGGGGAGTGCTTGGATTGTGTCCTCCTGCTTGGCAGCAGGACCTGATGGTCTTTGTAGTCTCTTCCAACTCTTAAGATTCAATTATTCTTTCTCAGCTTAGATTTTTCTTATTGCTACTTGTGTACTTCTGCAACCCGGCACTGAAAACCTGTGTTTCTGTAGCCCTTTGCCTTTCTTCCAGTGTTGATTCTGCTAAAAAAAAATGTACAGCTAGGCATAGATTAAGTGGGAAAGGGGTGGTAGATGTTTGTAAAAAGTATTTTTTTTAGAAAGGAGCTTCACTGTCAGGACTTTTGTTAATTGAGGTTGCTTGTATTTGTTAGGTAAAGGCTAGCTTATACTGATAAGAAGAATCTGCAAAGGACCATCTGGTCTTATAGCAGTGAGTGTTTCTGCCATCCGGGCAGAGCGCATTTTACTCATTCTGCTCTTGTCAGCTTCTTGTATGAGAGCGAAAAAGTTTGTTGGAGTTAAATTTACAAACAAATATGTGCTGGAAATCAAGGGGTTCTTATATATTTCCAACCTTAATGTTTTAAGCCTCACTACTTATGCAAAAATCAAAACAGTACTATTGGCACACAAAGGAAGCATTAGCAGGATTGAGAGTAACCACATGCTTTGCAGAATGACACCTAATTTTTTTTTTTAAAAAAACTAGAAACACCCAAATAGCTCAGCTAAGTGCTAAGGAGCATGCTCACTATTGATAGTAGAAAACCAAGTCAGAGGTGGAAGGCAAAAGAGAATTGTTAGAATTTTGAGTAAGTACTACAGAGAGAAGCTGCAGTGAAGGCTCTTTGTATAATAGTTTGTAAAGCAATATCCTTAAAGAGACACTGAATAGATAGCAGTGTTGATTTGAATATGTTTTTATTGGATGGAAATTCTAGATGTTTACATCTCCACTAGCAGCAAGTTGTTTGTAATGCTAATGGGTCTTGCCCACTTGTAACAGAGTCACTTCTGAATAT